TCTGGCCTTCATTATATGACCCTCCCCCATACCCCACTCCAACATAGGAGGTCCCCCACGGGGACTTGGGAAGGCACAGAGAATGCTCCTTCCAAGATCCAGCAGAGGAAGAGGGAAGGCGAGGTGGGGGAGGGGCCGTCTAGTTGTAATCGGAGTAGATACGTTCAGGAAAACCGCGGGAGGAGGGGTGTGTGTGTGTGTGTGCGCGTGTGCGCAGGACTTAGCTTTGCTTCTGCACTCTGATGCCTCCAATCAGATGGATAGGAACCAGTCTCTTTAAATAAATTTTTTAAAAGGGTGTTTGAAAAACAAGTGAAAAGTTCCTTTCATTGGAGAAGAGGACCGAATCCGAGTTGGCATCAGATCTGGTTGCACAAGCCTGTCATATGGTGCTCTCACTCCTCCTTCTCACTCCCCCCGCCCCAGCCTCTTTCCGCCCTTGGCCCCGGGGCTGGGGGTCGAACCGGAGCTGTTGGGAAGCACCCTCCTCTCCAGACGCTTCCATCTAGACAGACACAAGGCGGAAAAGCACTGGCATATGAAGGACAGAAAGACAAATGAAGAGCTCTCGAGCCAGCACACGCATTAAATAAGTACTTACATTATGCAAAAGCCAAGGCCCCCAACAAGGGAGTGAGGAAGAGGGGGGACGTGGAGGGATTCGTCTCGGACTAGTTTCCAATTCCCAACACTCTCCCTCTTCCCCCGCAAGCGCCCCCTTATCCCCTCCCGGGTATCAAATGCTTAGCGCAGGTGGGAGCCTCCAACCCTGGAAGCTGGGAGTCGAGGGGGCGGGGCCTGCGCTAACATCGGGGGGCGGGGCCCACGCTAAGGGGGCGGGGCAAATACAGAAGAAAGCGTTGTGGGCCACTTGGCTACTCGTCTCACGCCGCTTGCTGGAGTCCTCCGCCGCTTTCTCATAGCCTTAGCAACTGTAATCTGTCGCCTTCGAGATGACTGTAAAGTCACTGCTTTTGGAGAATATGTTCAAGGGACCCGCCTTCTAAAAGCAGTGACATCAGCCCCAGCAGTGTGGGCTGCCTTCCTTGTGTGATCTGTGTTGTCCTTGAAGGATTAACAGCTCCTTTGGGTCTCCCAGGATTCCCGGGAGATAGCTAGGGCTGGTGTTGTTGTCCCCAGTGCTTATGTCTTCCCATCTCCACACGACGACCTATGAAGTGGGTCTCAGGGTCTCGATTTTGCAGGGGAAGAAATTAAATTACTCTCTCGAGGTTTAGCAACAAAAAAGTCAAAAACTGATACAGGGTCTTCTGCCATCATGTTCTCCAGTATCCCTAGGAGGACATGTATTTTCTTCCTCCAACCCCCCTAAATGGGAAGTGTGCAGGTGTATATGAGGGAGCAGAGCTGAGTCTATTTTGAACGATCGTGTATCCAATCCCTCACCAAGCCCTCTTGGTTTTACCTAGTACGTATGGCTCAAGTCTGCTCCCTCCTCTCCACCACCACTGTGCCCCTGGTCCAAGCCGCCTGCCTTTCCCTCCCGGACCACTGCCCCCACCTCCTCACTGGTCTCCCCGTTAATGCTGTTCCCCTCCCATCCCTCCCCCCCCCCC